AGAGGTAAATGTATTAATTTGAAGGAGACAGATCAGGGATTAATGGTTCACTGTGCCTTTGGAAGATGCTGGTGTAAAAGCAGCCTTGGCAATAAAATGGTTGTATGGATGGAGAAGATGTATGAGTTACTATTTGTCCAATCTTAAATACCTCTTTTAAATTGCAAGTGAAATCTAGTAGAGCAGGGCTGAATGGATATAGATAGGAGAGTGTTAGGAGTGAAGGTTTAGGATTATCTCTTAGGGTAACATAGGAATCCTCTTTTTGTCTTGCGCTATTTGGTGGGGAAAAGAGCTTTGATAAGGTTGAAGTCATTTTTCTGGCTATCTTTCTCTTGGCTGGAATGGGCTGCACTGGGCTAATCATTATTTTTTACTTTCTTGCTGTGTTCTATTCAAGGGCAGTGATGCTGTTGGAAAAATCACAGAAAAAACAATTAGATTTAAAAAGTTTTTGCTCAAGCCCGTTTTTACAAAAGATGCCTTTCAGACAGAAAATATAATAGTTGTCGATGAAGGTCACATTTTTGTTTCAAAATTTATTGATCATCAGAAATAATGCAAACATTTTGTTTCCACAGTAAACAGGCGCAAAAGGCCTGCTGAGAAAAACCTTGATATAATAAGACTTTCATCTTTATTAAGCAGAGAAATTAAATCTTCTAACACTTCCAATTTATTCTTCTCAACATCAGTACCTGTTTTGTGATTGAGATAATATTTTTCTGAGATATCAGACAGTGTGTTATCAAAAAAAAAAAAAAAAAAACTGTTTTTCTTGTTGCAGATATTTACAATCCAATTTGTGGCTTGTTTGCCAACTATCAGGGTTTTTGGCATCTGATCCTGTTTTGATACTTTAAAAGAAGACAGTTTAGATTTAGATTGTTTTTGTAGCATCTATTGTTATCAGATGATAACTTTCCTGATTTTAATGTTTGAGTGGGACAAATCTATTTTATAGAAGAATGTCAGAAATTACAGCTGATCCCATCTTCCATTTTCTTAAAAATACCCTTTTTATCAATTAAAAGACCCTAAAATACCAAGGATGTTAAATTTAGAGACATAACATTCTCCATTAATGATCATAATTAATCATTAATCCATAAATTTCTCCACAGTGAGATCAATAAAGTCAATCAATCTAGTTTTTCCTACTCATAGTATTATATATAATCTAATATTTTATTTAAACTACTCTTGCAGCTAGTCTTGAATGGCCTGGCTTGATTAAAGACACATATGCCTGTAGCTGTGCCAGGGAAGACCAAGCAGCACATGTAGGGACAGTGGTTACAGATATCACAAACACATAAGAACAAACAGGAAATGTTTTTCTTGCCTTATTTTCATTATTTTGACATAAATGAAAACATGAGCTACAGCCTTGTAACTGCTTACTTCACTCACTTCTCTGCTAACATTATCTTAAGTTTTTTTAAACTTTAAGTCCAGTTTGAGGCTTTTACACCATTAGGGAGGCAGCAGCCTACTTTAAAACTTATTTTATGTAAACGCTTGTCAAAGTCCTCTATTGGGAAGGGAAGCATCTTTTGCAAAAAATAACAAAAAAAAACCAACAACAAAAAATCAAGTAATCTTATAACTACTTCTTAAAAAGCTGCCTTACACCCAATTTTATATATTATCGTTCTGAGCCCAGTTCAGACCGGTTGACTCTTATGAAATCATGCAAAGGTTTTGACAGTTTTCTGGACTTTCACATTGTGTCACACAAACGCAAAACCTAATGGGATCCATGTCGTAGAGCCCAATTGAGATGCAGAGTTTAGTGTTCCTTCTTTACTTTGATACCCTTAAATAAAGTTACATGCATCAAGTTGCATTTAGAGCTCACCTGACATGGCAACTATTCATAGCAGATAAAGGTGAGTAGAGTACCCAAAAAATGGTACTCAAGGAGTAGCACTATTTTAAGTAATCAAAAATACTTGAGAAAGAGGCTACTTGTATACCGAATAACTGAGTAACTAGCATACATTTTTTTTTTCACAAAATGTTATTTGATACACTGCACTACAAAGAAATTTCTATAAGTCATTTTCTCTTAAAAAAAGTGCCTTTTACTTGAATTGAGGAGGTAACTGAGACACTTCGCAAATTGAACAAGACAATTTAAATATAAAATAATAATAAAAAAACAATTGCATTGTCTTATTTCAAGTGTATATTATCTAATTATCGTATTTTAAGAGTGAAAATACTCATTCATTGGCAAGTCCAATGATAAATTTGTTTTTTTTAGAGAACTACATAAAAAATAGAACAAATAAATAACTTAGTTGAAAAATAACAAAGGCTCAGAGGATTGAAAATTAAGACACAGATGCTTGTGCAAAGAAAAAGTTACTCTCATTTAATGAAGAAAGCCTCAGTTAGCGGAACAACTAGAATTTCTTCTTAGGAGCAGTAACTCTTCATAGTATTACACAAGGAAAATTTAAACTTACAATGCAGTAGAATTACTCTTAAAAATAATCTAATCCAAAAAGTTACTTAAGTAATTGAAACTCAGTAAATGTAACAACTTACTACTCACCTCTGGTATAAAGTTTTATTTAAATAAGTGTTAACTAATTATTGTAAATGAATCCGGCAGTGTAAATGCAACATAAGCTTCACAAGAGTTTATCTTCTCTGCCGTTTGTTTTCTTCCTTCCGCCACCTGCTGAACTCAAGGTATAGTGGTTATCTTCCTAGTTCCTCCAGACATTATTAGGCAGGTTTATATGCACAATTCAATCCCTTTAACATAATGGGGAGTCACACAAATTCTCAAGGATTCATTTTAAGCTTGTAAACCTTTCAATATTAAGGAGCTAAATTATGGAACAGGGGTGAGAAGTCATTTTAACCTGGAGAGACTCACAGAAAAAAGCTGTGACATGAATGAAATAAGTTCTTTGGCGCTTGGGTCACGGCAGAAGACTTTGATGCTGTGAATCAACACTGGCTTGGATCAGTGACCTAGGAAATGGATAAGAGCAGTCTTCCCTTGGGGCACGGACACTGGACAAGCTGACGGACAAGCTGATAAGAGTCTTCCAGATTAAATTTTCACTTAAGCTTCATGTTTGGAGTTTGATACAATGCAAGCCCTACAAATCTTACAGCTATGCATGTTTTTAGATTTTATTTTGTCGAAAAAATGCTTTACTTTTGATCCACTTCACTATTCTATGGATGTTTTTGGTTGCAAGTTGGTCAAATGTAGAACCATTAAAGGGGTAATAATACCATAATTACAAGTTATATATCTATTTAAGGCATATAATTGGATGCTTTTAATTAGACAAAGGAGAAGATTCTGGAAGATTGTGTTAAAGTAAAATGAAGAGCTGAACACCTTTCAATTCAGCACACAGAGAATAAGAGATATAAAAACAGAAATAAATGCACCAGCAGCGGTATGTAAATACTGTTAGATGACTTTTATTTCAAAGTTGAGATATACTGTAAAAATGTCATTCCAGCTTCTTTGTTGGAGGATCGTTGCTTTTTATATTGCCATGTTGGCTTCAGGTGTCAGGAATCAAGTGTGAATGTATCCTTATTAGACCGGTATGTAATCAGCCATCCACATTCCACTCCTCGGCAAACTACAAAGCTTTTCTGAAAGAAAATGAGGGGCAGTAGTGGGCTCACAGGGGGAGAATATTAAAGCAACAGTGACTGTAAGGGAGCAGTCAGCCCAGTCCACAAACCTCAGTTCCCTGAGTTAGTAAACAAATCAAATCCCCATGGAGTTTGGAAATGTCAGATATAAACCCTTAGCTAGTTTTTACTTTAATAGTTATTGCTGCTTGTTTTGAAAAAAAGCTAACATGAATCTATTGTACAAGCCCAAACTTTAATTACTTTAGATATATGCATAATTAAAATTGAATGTATTTATTAGCAAGGCAACAAACACAAAGAGGTACATCAAGTTGTAAATGAAATGCATGTGCATATAAATGAGTTTGTTAAAGCTGCATTTAAGGTTCCTCTAAAAAGGGCTTGTTTTGTGGTCTGTTGATGAATTAAGCTTCATATCTGATGCATCCATATAAACATTTTTCTGGTTTGGGGATCATCTTTCTTTTAGCTTTTACTGCAGTATTTTCTACCATGCAGATCTAAAGCTGTTATGGTAGCACAGCCACAAACTGTTCTCCATTAGTAAAGGAATCCTCTTATGTTGTTACAGTGCATTCAGTATTATAACTATGTACAGTAGTATTTATACAAAACAAATGCCCTTGCCTTTCTCTGGCTTCTTATAAACAAATGGTAAAGGTAGATACATCTTTCAGCAGCACAAAGGCTGAAATATTGCTTTGTTGTGAACAAAAACACTTGCAGACACAGTGCTTCAGTATGTTCACACTTTGTCACAAAGAATGTTGCCTTAGTGAAAGTGAAAGCCCTTTGGGAAACTCCTCCAACTCCCATTGTCATTGTCATTGTGACACAGCACACACAAGTGACACACCATGAAATTGCATTTATGCCTCACCCATGCAAGGGGGCAGCCCTTGGCGCAGTGTGGCAGGACGGTACCATGCTCAGGGTACCTCAGTCATGGAGGAGGATGGGGAGAGCGCTGGTTAATTACTCCCCCCACCAACCTGGCGGGTCGGGAGTCGAACCGGCAACCTTTGGGATCCAAGTCTGACACCCTAACCGCTCACCCACGACTGCCTATGTACTTAGGAGTTAGGAGTACTCTGCAAAATCTTTTAGTGTAAATAAGTCATTTTTTCTTTAACAAAGTGCATTTTCTTGAATTGAGGAGGTAAGTGAGACACTTTACCAATGGAACAATACAATTTACATTTAAAATGAGTAAAACAATTGCATTGTCTTATTTTAGGTGCATATTATGTAATTATTTTAATAGTAAATTACTCATTCCATTGGCAGATCATCTTATTTACCTACTCAAATTAAGGGGAAATACACTTAATTTAAGAAATGTTTTACTTATTTCTAGATTTTTTTTTTTGCAGTTTATGACTCACACAGACAATTTACAATGTGTTTCTGTGAATGAAGTAGGATAGCTGCCCAGGGTCTAAGCACCAAAGTGTCCTTTAGAGGGTGTCCAGTATCCAGTGGACTTTGGGTCTGTCCATCAGGAGGTCAGTGAGAACCTTTCTCAATCAGCCAAGATATATCTCCAGTCCTGTAACATAGCAACACATATTATCTTTGCAGATTATATTTTCACATATTTGAAACCAGAGAATAAGATGCATCTTTTTTTAAGTGTAGATAAATTAGGAAAAGCTCATGTTTTCTTCATACTTGCCAAGCCGTGCTAACATCCTTCAGTTTTTGTGTGAGCACAAAATTGAAAGATACGAGAGACATGAGGATCACTGTTGTTACATAACATAAGCACAGTTGATTGGACTGACAAACATCTAACAGTAACAACAATCTATCCTTAAAATGCTAACAATGAGACGTTCAATGATGATGTGCAATCAGGGAAAAATGTTGCCTCTCCTAAAGAAAATATGATCATTTTTCTAATTAACATTTTGAGATAGAGTAGGACACAGGGACTAAATACAACTAGCATAAAGGAAGTAGCAATGTATTGTTTCTTATTTTAGTACATTGTATGTACATTTAAAATGACTAGTTCATTGCCCAGACTTCCAATAGCCAAAACTAAGCAATATAAACATTCCTTTATTTATTCTTCATACTTTACTCCATTAGTTAAATGTCAATCAGTGTTTTGATGGACTGATTTTATTATGTTCCTTTACACATGTATTTTTTTATATTCATCCATCCAGCAATTTTCTCCAGCTTAGTCCTATCAGGGTTGCGGTGGGGCTGCTGCCTATCTCCGGCAGTCTATGGGCGAGAGGCGAGGTACGCCCTGGACAGGTTGCTAGTCTATTGCAGGGCAACACAAAGACACACATCCATGCACATATTCACACCTAAGGACAATTTAGAGAAGCCAATTAACTTAACAGTCATGTTTTTGGACTGTGGGATGAAGCCAGAGTACCCAGAGAGAATTGGGAATCGAACCCAAAACCTTGTTACTGCAAGGTAACAGTGCTACCCACTGCCCCACCATGCAGCCCTGTGTGTTTTCATATGAGCAACTTTTTGTTTAATGCTTTTTTGAAATATATACACTTTTTTTTATTTCTTTTATATTGTCTGTTATATTTTTTTCTTAAATGGCATCCTGCTTTAACTCTTTGTACTCTATATAAGCTACTCGAACCAGAATTTCCCTGAAGGAGTAATCCAAAGGGATAAATAAAGTTGAGTCTAGGTCAAAGTCTATGCATGTCTTTGTATGCATATTTTATATGTGTATTCTCTGTTGCCACTTCCTCTGCTGCACGACTATTTGTCTCATCTGGGACAAAAAAAGTGATAAATTGATTGATTTAATTAATTAAGACCATTATTAGTTTTAAATTCTGCTGTATGGCTCATACTCTAGGGTACCAAGTGTGGATGGGTATGCAATGAGCAGCCGGGGAAGAAAAAAAAAACGTATTCTGCCTATTTACCTTTTTGATCCAGTCTACTTTTGCTTTTTCTTGTGTCTGGTTAACTTATTTAGCTTATAACAACCCTGATAACTTACAAAATGAAAGTAACAACTTTTGCTGAATGTTTTTTTTGTCTAATGAGGGAGAATGTCATTGCTTATGTGAGGAAAACCTAAGACACCGTTCATGCAAGAACGACCACTGGTTGCTTTAGTTATTAAACTGAAATGCTATCACTTACTATTGAAGGAAATGAAATCTAAACTGTCGCTGCATGCATGCTCGGTGTGAGGGAGGAAGAGGGCTGAAGAGTCAACGACAAAAAGCAAGCGAAAAGCGTCACTGCATGCTCATCCAGGAGGAGCATGTTTTGCAAGATAATGACTCAATGCAATCAGCTGGTTTTCCTTGACAGAAACCTGACTGAGTTGTCTGCTAATTTCCTTGGGATGGCATGTTGTGAGTTGGTGCTAAATTAATAAACTGACTAAAATCCTGAACCAGAATACAATCGTAAATGAAGACTTACTCCACATCCCGTTTTTTAATTGTCTTTCCGGATCCAAGGACCTCTGCCACTCGGGATACGATGGGGTCATAGTTCATGCTGGCAACAGCAACCACCTCCTCACTTCTTTAGATAGAACAATAGCAGAAAAAGAAGGGCTGTTAAACAGTTCAGATATGTAAGCTACTTTCCAGGATAAAACTGCAAAAGGTACCTTGTGTAAAAAGCAACAAATCGCAGTTCATCCAGATCTCCTTGTATGATGACATCATCAAATCCATCACCATAACCTCAAGCATTAGAAAAAGAAAATTAATTGTCTTGCTTTTTGTCTTTAATAAGGTTTTAGGTTAATTTATATAAAAGTAAACTAAAAAACACTTTTAATACTCCCCTGACCTTAGAAAATATCAAAAGTAATGATGTGGAGCAATTATACTTGTATTTAAATAAAGAGAAGGAAATAATACAAAGTCGTACAATCATGATAGGAAAATCCATTTAAATTTTAATAAATTTTATACTCAGGGCATAGATGTGTAGACATACAGTTGTGCTTGAAGATTTAGATACACTCCCATTAAAGAAATAATGAATTCACGCTAGTAAATCAAATAACACAAAACTGGAAAATGTATAATATGAAAAAAAAAAAAAATAATAATAATAATTTGATTTCAATTTTTGTTTAAAACAATGATTTGTAAGAAACAGATTGTCCCAGATGAATTAAAGTACCTTGCTGATGAACAGCAAATCAAACACTTGATTTCAGGGATTGCATAAAAGTGTTGCTCAACAAAAATTTTGTTTATGAGCTCCATCAAGCTTTACTTGCTTTATTTATTCATGTATACATGTGTATGTGTGTATATATATATATATATATGTTTATATATTCAAAGTCGGTGTCATGATTTTCTTATTATTTTAATTTCTTTATTACTTTTGGCAATCTCTATTTTACTGGCAGCTGTTTTTTTTTCAGTCTTTACTCAAAGGGTATGTAAACTTGCATAAAACTTTTCAAATCTTGTCAGATGTCCGTCCAATGAACATTCTCCAAAACTGTGGATTCCAGGGTTCCAACCTACCTGCATAGCGAATGGTCTTCCCAAACATGGCTGACCAGAAGTAAGGCACGGTTTTAAACTCAGACGGTCTGCCGATCATGCTGAGAGCTGCAACCCTGCCTGTCAGTGAGGAAGAAATCAATCAAATAAATCTTATTGTTGTATTTACCAGCATCTGAAGCCTGGACTGAGCTTTGAGCTGCTCACCGTGTACATGAGCCATCTGCCAGTGAGGGATGTTCACCTTCTTGTTGTTGCGAGGTGGAAAAGGAAACGTCACCACATCTCCTCCAGCAAACACCCCGTCAACATTTGTCTGCATCATCTAAAGCAGAGGACAGTTTTAGTCAAAATATAAAAACAAAACTGACCTTCTACTCAAGCAGCAGAGGTTTGCTGCACACCTTGTTCACAGAGATGAAGCCCTTTGAGTCCAAGTGGATGCCACTCTGTTTCAAAAACCCTGTCGCAGGAACACTTCCTACACACATAGAAATACATGAATAGGTTAAAAATGAAAAAGGATGGAGAAAGAAAGCTGCATTTTTTCCGCTTGAGATATTACCTGTTCCAATGACGCACACATCTGCCCGCAGGACTTTCCCACTTTTCAGAACAACTTCCTTCAACTTTGAAACAGGAACAACAGGTAATGAACAGACATATAACAGAGCAGGCAAAGCCCTTAAAACTAAGCAGGGAGAATTTATTGAGGACAAGACAGCTATATTTTAAAGATGTATCCAGGGCATCGTAAAGACAAGTTTGAACAATGATGTAAGTCATAGAATATGTCAGAATATTATGCTTTCTTTTTTATTAGAATATGTATTCCTTACTTCTAAAGAGACAGTTTTATGATCATATTCTGGTCTGAAAATAATATTAATTGCAGTAGAATTTGTCTATCAGTTTAAATGTAATCTTGGATTTTTTTAGGAGTCACTATGGGTTTAATGTAAGTCTTATTTCCAGTGGTCCTATTTACTAATTTAGTGACTTTGCAAGGCAGATGGTTTTACTTTATAAGACAGTTTCAGAGTAAATGGCAGTTAGTACAAATGTGTGCATCACTTTTGTGTTTTTTTGTTTTTAATTAAACATGAAAACTATGATTCATTTAGCTTCCACTTAACACTTATGCATGATCTAAACAATATTATAAAGATTTGTATTTAAAAATTTTTGCAACAGGTCATAAGATATAAAGCTGTTGGCTATAGATTTTACATAGCATGTAGAGTTTTGTTGTAAAGTTTTTATGTTTGTTTAAAAAAAAGTACACAAAGGTGTTTAATTATATCTGCTGCAACTCAAATAATTTAACTACAATTACACAGTTCCAACCAATGAGGTAATAATTTTTTATTTAAGATTCTAGGTAAAATCTAAAGCAGTACTTGTTTTTATTGATAACTTAATGTCCCTTACAGACATATTCTAGCCTTTAAGGTTAAACTGAATGTTGAGCATCTACAGAAAAAAGAGACTATGTCTCTCACTTTGTGAATACCTGTCCATGTTGCCCAATCATCTCCGACACCTCATTTAGCATGTAGAACTTCACCCTGTTTGTCTCGAACAGCTGCAAGGATAAAAACAGCCCTGAGTGACAGTGAGACCACAGCTGGAACACTTAACTGGTGCAATAATGACCAGCAGAAACAAATAACAGCATCTCAGTTTTAATCAGCAGTGTATTTACAGGGAGAATACTGATGACGGGTTTGTCAATGTGTGTAGGGTTTTTTTTGTAATAAAAAGATTTGATTTCCCTTGAGAGTGCCTTTACCTTCATTATGGCTTTCCCTACTTTCTCCCCGAGAGCTTTTTTAAAGGGGACAGGCTCGATCCCGATGACAGACACTGAGTGGGCCTTGTCAGTAAGAGCTGCAGCCACTTCCATACCTGCCAGCATAACCAAAAAAACAGCATCAGGGTAGATTTTAATGCATTTATTCCTCTCTGTTTTAGCAAAATAATTCTCTATTTTGTTTTTCACAGCCTGTGATTCACCCTATACAGATTGCAGCAGACTGTCTTTTTAGAACTTTAAATTAATGTGAAATGATTAATGCTATATTGAGTAGATAGATCATATATATCTAGTTGTAATATCCCATAAATATTTTTGTTGAATAAAAGTTCTGGTGAATGTGGCAAATAGGACATCCGAAACTCAGTGAAATGCATTTAATATTTTTGAACCAGTCAGGAAGCCGAGAGTCAGTCATGAGAAGGATACACTTGTTGTCCATGCAGGCTTTATTTAGTCAGCAACGTGATTTTTTTTTTGTTGTTAAACTAAACCCCTAATAGTTGTTTTCCTGGTACAGCATCAGTCAAAGCACCACACTGCCCCCTGCTGGGTAGCTTTTCCATGGTCATGATTTATTCCACTGCATGAAAAGTGGGATTTTCGTCAATATACGGCACTGTAGATTGTCGTGGAACTTCAGGTTAGCGGCAGTTTACGGCAATTTGCAACCTTCGCCGAAAACTCCCGTAAATTGTCAGAAATTGACGTGGAATTTCTTAGGCAGTGTTCCCCCCATGCCTCCCCCCCATGGAATTCTAGGGGAGGCTTTAACATGTTAATGAACATGCTGTGAGCTATACAAATGCAAACCAGGTAAGAAAATCTCTGATACAAAGAGATCAGGTATAGCCTCTTACATTTTAGCTTGAATTGATTTATTTAATTAAAGTATAGAGACCAAAACAGATCTTTAGCTGACAGAGCAATACATTTAGAGCAGTAATTATTTTTTTTTTTAATTTGCATTTAAGATAAAAAATAAAATGTTGTCTGTCAATATGCTCAATTCACAATTACTTAAGTGGAAAAGTTTCAAGAAATGATTCTGAAATGATTCACTTTATAACATGGCGCATTATCCTGTTGGAAGTAGCCATCAGAAGATTGGTACACTGTGGTCATAAGGACATAGGTCAGCATGCTAAATTGGTTTTAAGTGGCCCAAAGTGTGGCAATAAATATCCCCCAAATAGATGGTAGAAATAGATCAGGCTCAGTATAGCCTAATTATAGACTCTTACATTTTAGCTTGAATTGATTTATTTAATTAAAGTACGCTAGATTACTGTGTATGCAAATGTTATGTAAAAAAAATACACAAAATAATTTACTTCAAAAATTAGTTTTAATCAGAATCAGTTGGCTGTAATGGTTAATTTTTTTTTTTAGATTTCCACTTTTTTTTTTTTTTTTGTTATTGAATATATAAGAAAACAATAACAATCTCAAATAACAAGTCAATAACAAATATTTCAATACAAGAAGAAATATCACAACTCCTGCTTTTGAAAAATAAAATTAAATGCACAGGCTGGAACAAAGTATAAAATAAAATAAAATAAATAAAAATAAATAAAATAATAATAGTAGTTAAAGTAAATTAATCAGTGGGGACTACCAACTGAAATTCTTCAATTAACTCAAACAATTTAATTGCATTTAAATTCTGCATCTTTCTCAGACATCTTTTGAAAAGGGAAAGTTCATTTTTGAGAGCAGAGATTGAGAGGGAGCATTTTGCATAGCGACATTTATGGATATAATACTTTGTTACAATTATTAGAATATTGATTAAAAATTCCAAATTTTTTTTCTTTAATGGATAAACCGAATTGAATGTTTTGCCAGGAAATAAAATCTAAATTTATTGTTTTAGAAGACAGAAAGGTTCGAAGTTGATCCCATAAGTTTAATACTTCTTTACATTCATAAAAAAGATGTTTAGTTGTTTCCAATTGAGTTGTACAAAAGCCACAATTCTCAACATTAAACTTAAATCTCTCTCTTAAAAACTCATTTGAAGGATATATGTTATTTATTATTTTAAATTGTAATTCTTTATATTTAGGAGGAATTGGGAATTTCAAATAATTTGTCCTAATTTTGACTATCATAGATTTTGTAAGAGAGCTGTGCTTTTTGTTCTTCCTGGGTACATATTATTTATAGAATATTGATTCAAAAACTTGTTGTTGCATTTATTATCTCTAATGTCCACCTGCTCAAATTCAATCTTATGGAGACAAACAATTGCAATTGCAAACAATTTATAGGTGCATTACCGCCACCTTCCAGAATGGAGCGACGCGAGCTCTTCTCGCGAGTCCTTCCGTATAACAATGACGTCGTATGTGATTGGAGGAGCCTGATGAGCCTTCGGCCCCATCGTCCAATCACGTGTGAGCTTTTGTGCACTACGACTTCTCGCGAGACCATCATATTAGCAGGCATGTTTGTGTTACTACACTTAGAAGAACTTAATCTCCAGTTACCGTGTTTGTATTTTGTTGTTACGTGAACAATGGCTGCACGACGTCTCGCGTTCAACTCGCCTCCAACTGCTCTTAGTCCACAACTTTCGGCCAGCCCGCAGACTGACGAGAAGAAACTGCTGATTGCTATCAGCGGACTGTCTCGTCAGCTTGCCCAACGACTGCCGACATGAATGAGCGCTGGAGAATTCGATGCACTCCAGGTTGTAGTCCATAGAGGACAAGATGGCGGCTCGGCAGTCGAGCAACTTTGCGGGATATACGAACTCGAGGAAGAGAAGACGGGTGCACAACGCCACGCTAGCGGTAAATATAAGTTCGATTACTGGTAGCTATGCTAAAAGCAGCCTAGCTTAGCTAGGCAAGCTAAAGGCAACCTAGCCTAGCTAGGTAAGCTAAAAGCAGCCTAGCCTAAAGCTTTATTAAAGTGTATTTTTTGTGATTCACAGGAATCAGTATGCCGTCTTAACAACTCGGAGACTAATTGCAGGCGCTATGAACCGGAGCAGGGGTAAGGTTTAAAGAATATGCTTTCATTCTGCGGTAAAAGGACATGGATACCGACCATAGCTGTACTTTTTTTTTTCTCACAGACTACAGTCGCCTCACAATGAGGCGGTGACCTCCTATTTGCACGATGTTGATAAAGACGACATTGTGTGTAAGTGACTTGTTTTAATGTTTTCTCCTTCCTTGTTACTGTGACTTGCGTTTGATTTTATTTTTTTTTTATTCATACCTCTCATTTGTTTTCCAGCTGCCTGTAAGACGTATTATGAGACGGTATGCAGGAGCTTCAGATACACGCTGCTAGCCAGCACGCTGCGTGCGGAGGCTGCCAGGCTATCTGCTCGGAGTCGGGACAGAAGAAAGATGGTAAGACTTTATTTGGTGACTATTTTTCAGGTGCATTGATAGATGTGTTGTGTCCGTATGCAGTGCGCTGATTCATTGTTTTTTTTTTTCAGCTGCTGAAGGCGAGGCAGAGTGTGTTGGCAGATGAGGAAGTGGAACTCTGGAAGTCCGCCGTCGTCGGCGGTGTCTCTGGATGGATTGTACGGTCGCCGCCATTTCGTAGGCCGGATCTCACTGAACTCTGTGTTAAGCTGCAGTCCCGGTTAGAAGCGATGCCGAAGTACAGGGCCACGCACAGTATGCGTCTGCACATCGGACCTGCCTCGGAGGGAATGCTGCCTGTTACCTCCAACCCCGATGAAGCAAACGGACCGTTCACGGAGTTTTAATTTTTAGAAACGCATGTGTTTGGATACGCGTTGTATATAGTTGTGTGTGTTTTAATAAAGCTCTTTCTTTGCATAAACAGCTTCCTGGCAAATGTTCATTTCCTGTATAAATTCATTCATGTCCTTGATGGTAGCATAATTGTGTAGTAGTGTAGGATAACATAAATACACAGCATATGAATGAATAAATATATGAATGAATAAATATATGAATATATATATGAATGAATAAATATATATATGTAAATATATATATATATGCCAACCAATCACGAGCGACTTTACTTGTTTAAAAAGAAGTGGTTCCGTCCAATACTCAGTAAGAAAATTAAAGCCTGGCGTGGCCACGTGTGGTTTTGCTGCCAATCACGAGCGATTTCACTTGTTTGAGAATAGTGGTTTCAGCCAATACTGAGAAGGTTATTCAAGCCAGACCTGGCCAGCCGCGCGGGTTTGCTGCATTCATATGCTAATTAGGGCCATTAGTACAGCTGATCGCTCTCCACATACGTCAGAGTCCGTTTCCGACAATTTGTGGCACGACAAACGCGGACAAGCACGGGTTGCAAATTGTCGGAAACTGACGAAAATCAGGCAGATCTGCGGGAGTTTACGGGGACGAAAATCTCACTTTTCATGCAGTGTTCAGTGCTCTTATTTACACCAGATTGTTGTTATCCTTGAATAAAAATCCAGTTACTCTCCACCATAAATCGGCTGCATATGTTTTCATGATGTAGTTTTCTTTCTAAGGTACAATAGCGTCAAAACTTAGCAAATCTATTTCTATCTGAAATATGTTTTTGTATTTTGTTATTCACAAATAACCTCACACTTCAGTGAGATTCGTTTTGAATTTGGCTTGATAAAACAAATCAATGTGAAGCATTTTTAAAACTGGAAGGAAATTATAATTTATTTTTTCTCTTCTTTTTTTTACTTTAAACCAAGCAAATATGTTTTTCATTCTACTGGAGCTTAGTCTACCAACTTTACCACCTTTTAAACAGTTTTCCATTCCACTTTATAAAATTGTATAAGCTTGTTCGGTCTGGATGGACAGGATGTATGAACAAAGATTTTCTTTTTTTAATCAAGTCTTGTTACATAAATATATTCAACTGGGTCATTATTGTACATTAATGATCTCCTCTCTTTACCAAATTGCAAACAAGAGATCACAGCTGATTTAATATCCAGATGGGGCTCAGGTAAATGCCCAGTCTGTCATGATGCTGCCCTTTCTGGACTTTTTGGTACTGTCTATGTTTTCTTTTTGAGTTTTCAGTTACACTTTCGTTTATATTATTCTGTGTTTTCTTGGTTACTGGTTTCATTTACATTTTGTGTCTTTCTAATAGTTTTCTGCTTGTATTTGAGCACTTAAGTATTTCTTGTTTACTCTCTGTTGCCCCCTTGTGGCAGTCTCCTTTCCCCTAGCTCCTTCTAGTTCCATCTCTCCACACCTGCTCCCAATCAGTTCATTACTTTTTCATTGTTCTGTTTAGGACATATATTCTCCTCCCCTTCCGTTTGTGTTTGCTGGATTCTCTTCATTACTTAATTCCTTAGGTTTATTAATATAAATTTTTATTATTAAAAGTTTGTGAATACAAACCTTGTTTTGGAGAACAGGTCATAATTAAACAATCAAAGCTCTGGGTTAATACATTTTAAAAGAAATAGAAATTCTATCATTTTGGACTTTATTATAAAACTCTCATTTGATTCTGAGAACTGTGTTGAAACAGGAGTTTTTGTCTCACCAACAAATGATGTTCCCACAATCACGGCGTTCTTATTGTTGGCGAGCCTCGCTATGCTGTTGGCATCCTCAGGTGTCTGAAGATGGAAGACATTCCTAACATCCTTGCCCTTGTAGTTCATCAGTTTTGGTCTTTAAAAAATGAAAAGTCATTAGAAATGTGTAGTGTCAGTCATTAGAGATAAAGAGTTACTTTTCTTACTTGCTTCCTGTAGCAATAAAGAGTTTCTTGTACTCCATCCTCAAGCCGTCTTCAAATGTCACAGATCTAGTCTTCACATCTACTGCCATAACCTAAACAATTATTGGAGATGTTTTACTTTAATGAAATCTTTTATTTTAATTTTTTTTTAATTGCTTAGATAATTTACCAACCAGTTTTTTAAGGTTCCCCACCTCTTTTTCTGTGAGGAGCTCAATGTCATGGTCCTGTAGGAAGTCGATGGAGCGTAACCTTAGCTGCTCTGCTGTGCTTTCTAAAGACTAAGCACAAGAATAACGATAAATTAACAAATTTAAAACATCCCTGAATCGCAAATCTGGTAACTGAGTTAAAATTTGTTGAAATTATCCTTGAATAGATCCTTATCATTCTTTAGGTAATATTATCATCTGATGATAACATTATTCTCTAAACAAAATAACAAATGTTTCATGTTTTCTATTGAGAAGGTTCTCATCTTTAACTAGGTCCCCTTGAAATTATTTTTTATTGTGTCTCATTACAACCACAAACCTCAAAGTATTTTATCTAAGAGACCAGAACATAGTGATGCATAAATATGGAAGGGTTTGCAATTATATTTAATAAGTAAATTATCTTACAAGTTTGAATCACATCTGTTATGAACTGATCATCTGGACCAAGGGGCAGATGTGCACCCCTTTGACAAATGGATATGCTTTGATCTATACTATTATCCTCTAGCCCTGGATGTATGTTAAGGGGGAACCTCAAACAGAAAAATGTTTGCTTCCAGGACTGACCTGCATAAACTCTAATCAGTCTCCTTGTCCCTGATAAAAAGAACTATCCTTACGGCAGGATTCTACCATCACCAAGTTGAACAACAGAGATGTTTTTTTCAGCAGATGTTAAGTTGCACATAGATGGATTTTGGACATTGATTTATTGATTTATAGACTTTATTGATCTCACAGTGGAGAAATTTACTTATTGTATTGGCTCAATAGTCAAAAAGAAGGAGGATATCAAAAGCAGGAAAAGGTGCATGGGGTATATACAGTATATACAGTGCATCCACATATATGTATATAATAGCCGAAGTTTCTTATTTAACAGGATTATTGCGCAGGGTTTTAAATGTGTATTTATATAAAAAAAGGTATATATATATATATATATATATATATATATATATATATATATATATATATATATATATATATATATATATATACGGTATATAGTTATTGCACTGGGTATTAAATATTAAACAGGTTATTGCACAGGGTATTTAATAGTGATTGCACATTAGTAATTGCACAAGTTATTGCAGTTATAGTGCCGCATTGTGAAGTCTGATGGCAGCAGGGCTGAATGACTTGTGGTAGCTCTCCTTTTTACAAACAGGGTATAAAAGTCTTTCACTAAAGGAGCTGCTCAACAGTCTTATGCAGAGATTGAGAGGTGTTATCCATGATGGACGTAAGCTTGGACAGCCCCCTCCTCTCAGCTACTTCCTCCACTGAGTCCAGAGGCCAACCTAGGAAAGAAATGGCCTTTCTCACAGATGCTAAAAGGTCTATTCCCATTTAACCAGGGCATCTTAACCATGTCTGCTGGCTGCAAATGTCACCTCTTTTGGCTTCCCTTTGTACTTATGCAACTTTAGAAAATAGTTTTATAAGTGGCCTGCCTGTAGCTTCCACCATGGCCTTTCTGTTGTGTTCCTTGGTTCTCATGAAGGTGTTTGTTTATTACTTTTATTTAACAAACCTCTAAGGTCTTCACAGGACATCAAATTTATACTAAAAATTGATTACACACATAATAGCTCTACTTCTACATTTGATTATTTTAAAGTGATAACACAAGATTTTGTTGGGATCTGGAGGCTTGTTCACTTTCTCCACCAGAGGGCGCCTGAGATCTTCCTCCTGAGGGCATGAGCTCACTTCCACGCACCTGTTTCCTGTCTCCTCATCAGGAAGACCTATTTAAGGAGGAGGAGGCTGACACTTCCCTGCCAGAGTGTTTGCCAGTAATGGTTAGCAAAACCTGAGCCAGCCTGCCTGATCTGTAACCCTGATTTTGAGAACCTGTCTGATCTAGTTTCTCTCTGCCTCACAGATCCTGATTTTTCTGGAAACCTGGAATCCTGGAGAAAGTATCTCGGTCTGGAATCTGCCTGCCTGCACTCTGTCTCAGTCTCTGCCTCAGCCCTCAGCCCTCTGCCTGCTGGACTCACAAGGTTCCCCCCCTGCTGATCAGTATCCTCTCTGAGCAGGTATTAATCCCCGTCGTCGAAATCTGCACGTTTCCTGGATCAACACTAACTGCTCTGTCCTCCTCAGTGGCTTCCCTCCCGTGACCAGTCAGAAGAACCCAGTTCCTGTGACCATTTAACTTGTAAAAATTGTAAATAAATCATTTTAATCTTTTCCCTGTTTCAAGAGTGTTTTCTGCATGTGGGTTAGACGCCTTGAACCCAACATGACAGATTTTATTTAGGGTTATTAGAGTAAAAGCTGATATCGTGGACATCCTAATCAATAAAATTGTTTCTTCCACTTGAAAACAAATCACTATTTTGTGTTGGTCCCCCAACTAAAAATTCAACAAATTAGATAAATTATGCTTGATTATTTGAGGCCCTGTATAATTTTTCACTGCTCTAGGTTTTTCAGCTTCGTTGCTGCATAATGAGACGCTGCTCCCAAAAGAGTCATCAGTGACGCAGGCAGCCTTTGCAGCCTCTTATGTAAGGTTTTGGGCATACTGAGCTTTGCCTCAGTGAATATGGTTGTGGTCTGTGTACAAACCTTACTCAGTTTAGGCCTGTCATACGGGGGATGTCTGTCCATGGTGCACATGACAATGCGATCTGTGAAGCCTTCTTGTCTCAGTGTCTCTGCACACACCAGACCTGCTGGACCTGCAGAAAAATTCACAAATTCAACCCCTAAAATGATGCCCTGTAAAATAAAATAAAGGCTAGTTATTCATAAGCTGTTTAATGCTGTACCGCAGTTAGAACCAATATATATAAAGTTGGAATAAAATGATGTAAATAACAGTGTGGCTGTTTTATAGTGTAGCCTGTATCCTGTACCAACCTGAGCCAATTATAAGAACATGGCTGCAGCCAGTGTTGGAGTTGATGACGGCCGAACATCGGGACATGGGTTTTAATCTTTTTTGTGACTGAAGAGCCTAAAAAATACATTGAAGAACATGAGCCCTCTGTGAACTGCATCAGAACCTCTTCAAAATCTTTCACATATTTATAGGTGATAAAATATAGCTTGCCATATAAAAGAGGGCAATTAAATTTCAATTTAAAGGCACACTATGCAACATTTTTCAGTTAATTAATGTGTTCCATAACGTTATGGATGATTAAATGATTCATTTCAGGTTGAACAAAGGTATTCTCGGCCGCCCTGGTGGTCTGTGGGGGAAATACTGCACTTGCAATTGCAGGAGCACCGACCCGCACCCACAGGCTCAGAAGTCTCGTGAGAGTCAGTCTTGCTTTACGGCGAGAACTGCTACACCCCCCAGTTAAAAGCATTCTCGTTGCTAGCACAGTGGCGATCTTTGTGCAGTTATGCTACGTTCACATCGGACGCAGCAAAATCGTGTCTGCTGCTTCATTTTTGCTGCTTGTACCAGTTAGTTCTGACGCGCGGCTGAAGCAGATTTGCTGCTCTGGCTGCGCGGTGCAAAAGTGTGTCTGACGCGCGTTGGGCGGAGCTTCACTATCCTTTCTCTGCCTTGCAGCTGTATTTGCTGTGATCAGTGGGAATAAAGTAGTTTTAATATGTGTTTAAGTGAGAAAATACACCTGAAAACGTAATCAGTGCAGTCAGTTCATTCAGATTATTATCCTGCCTTCAATATTTTTTCTGTCGGAGCCGCTCAGACCCCCACATACCAGCGGTGCGCCGACAGTAGGGATCCCTTCATCAGCAGCCTCTGGCCTGGTCGCCTCCGGTTCACCACGGCAGCTGGTAGGTGTTTTTCATCTAAATAATCCAAACTGCATATTCTGCCGGCAGATTTCTGCATTTTAAGTTAATTTAGGCGTCAATAAACTGTTTAAGAGGAGTGATCATCAGCGCTGTGTCTCTCTCCCTGCGTCAGATGCTTAAACTCGCCCGATGCGCTGCTTCAGCTGCTCAGACGTGCTGCGCCTGCTGCTCAAAACCCGCCGCCGGGACCTTTTGCTGCACCTTGACGTTACGTTGCATGTAAACTCGCTGCTTCTGTCGCGCCAGCTGCGGTGTGAATGCAGCATTAGTCATTTGTTGCGTTCGCCTGTCTGCTAAGCTCAAAACAACCGCGCCTGGCTTGACGGAGAAACTAGGAGAACAGCTGAGCATATTTACGACAGTGCACTTTTACTTTCGCCCTCTGGGGGGAGCCTCGCTGGAAAATCAACACCGGTTGCATAGTGTACCTTTAATTCAGTTTATCATCTAAAGGCTCTTTACAGAACAATTCAACCATATCAAACGTTATCTATCAAAGAAAACCAGTTGATAGCAATAACTCACTGACTGGAAAGCAATCCCTTACACCAGGGGTCTTCAACGTTTTCAAAGCCAAGGACCCCCAAACTGATTGCGAGATGGAGCAGGGACCCCCTAATTATATATATTGTATGAAATTGTTTTTATATCAAACTGGTCCTATAGTCACTCTATTACATATGGAGTCATGTAACGAAAGTAATTTCCCCCTGGGATTATTAAAGTATTTCTGATTCTGATTCCTGGTTGATGGGACAGGTGTTGTGAATGAAATGGTGTCCAGCTTGAAAGAGCTCCTGTGTGTAGCTGAATGTGTGCATTGATGACTGAAACACATCTTCTGCTTTCATTTATCTGTTTACTATAGTGTGTTGAATTCATGTTAATGTGTATTTAAAGACATTTTATTTAGTGCAAAAAATTGCAGGAGAGAATATAAAAAAAAGTAATCAACCAAGACTTTCGTGACCCCCATGCAGTACCTCCGCGGACCCCCTAGGGGTCGCGGACCCCCTGTTGAAGACCTCTGCCTTACACTGAGCATGCATGCAGCAACAGTGGAGAGGAAAAACTCTCTTTTAGGAGGAAAACATGTTGGATGCAAAGGTAAGAACAACAGTAGTCTGAGAAGCAGACCTACAGAAACTGGAGGGTTCATTACACAAATGGCCTTAATGGAAGAGTTATAGGAAGAAATCCATGGCTGAAAGAAGCCACAGGCTGTTTGATGAAAAGAAGAAAACCTGTTAGAGGCTGCAAAATACAGCATAAAAGGAAATTCACCATAAAAGGAAAAAAAAATCTTACTTCAAACCTTACTGTGAGACTTAAAAGATTTTTTAACACATTATTATCACATTCTCTAGGTGTACAGCATAGTAGAGTCAACCCTTAAAGACTGACACCTGTACAGTAATTACAGTGGAGGGGGAGGTTCCATTAAATGCAGACACAGAGGAAGGGGTGTCCTGAAACTCCTGCTTCCAACACACCTGACTCAAATATTAGCTCATCAGCAGCCAATGGAGGTGCTTGACAGCGTGCTAATGAGGCAGTTTAGCCATTTAATTCTGCTGTGCAATGTTTCTTCCTCTTTATTGAAAGGTTCAGAGCTGTAAAAAGTACTTGTCTCCTTCCAGATTTTCTCATTGCATTGTGATGCACTTATGCATTTAAGATCATCAAACCGATTTTTTTATATTGTATAACCGTAACCTGAGTAAATAAAGTTTCAGGGGTTTTTTTGTGTCACTTTGTTGCTAATCTATTAAAAACAAATCCCATAATTTTGATGTATGAGGATGGTTAAAAAAAGGTTCTCAGCGTGAATACTTTTACACATCTGAACATAAAATCTCCACATTCCTTTTTTTCCCGGTTAGAATTACCTGTTTGTTTGCACGGATAATCACCTTGTCCTTTTCAACTCTGACCTGGAGCAAACACACAACAGTGAAATGTACACTTTTTTAAGGAGGTTTCACACAAGATAAGACAGGGAATGTGTTACAGGGGACCAGCAGCAGGAAAGGTCACCTGGAAGGTAGGCAGACTGTCCAGGCCTGGGAAGTCCTCAATGTCTCCTGTTGCTGTGCTGAAACAGGCGCCGTGCCACGGACAACGGACATGTCCTTTAGACAGCACACCTACAATGAGAGATAGTAAGCCAAAGGTGCCCCAGTGACAGAAAATAATAGCTAAATTGATGCTCATGAATGTCCTGACCTTTAACTAGCGGTGCGCCATAATGCGGACACTTGTGGGCCATTGCAGAAAACTCCCCTTGTTGTTTGATCAGCAAAGCTCTGCCACATCCCAAATCAACCTCTCGCATTCTAGCCCATACAGAAAAAAGAAGGCATGTTCTTATCCAACATCTAAATAACATTGGGAACAAAAGTAAAATGTTGCACAGCTAAAATTAATTCAGTTGTTAAGTGATTTTTTCCCGGGCACCCCCCAATGGCAGCCCACTTCTCCCCAAGGGGATGGGTTAAATGCAGAGGTAAATTTCTCCAATGTGAGATCAATAAAGTTCAATTATTTGCTATAACCAAAGCAATTAAATATCACTATAACATAAAAGCAAAAGTCAATTATTTGCTATTTCACAACATTTCCAGACTACATTTTTTTATTCCTCATTTCAAGCATGAGGATGCCTGCATTTTCTCTGGCATTAAATATCAATCCCCTATTGTGTTTTTTTGCTGGTTGACATCAAATTTCTTCACTCCCTACTTTAGACCCTACATTTAGACACAGACTGGCTCAGGGATTTATAATATCCTCATAAAACACTTGAACCATTAGCTGTGGAAACGCTTCAGGAGATAATAACTGACTCTGACACTCTTGGTCATCTCATAGGCGTATTAAAGAACAAATTTTACAGCTGATCATTATTAAAACCCTTTAAAAGTCTTCAAATATAAATACCTTATAGTATTGTATTGGGATTTTATGTGATAAAACCAAAAGAAGTACAAGCCTTTTAAAATGGCTGGAAATTATACATGGATCTTACATTTCATGGCAAAGAAAAAGCTGAAATATTTTCTACAAGCTATATTGCAAGGTGAGAAAAGCTCTGGGAAGATTAGTACAACTTGAATCTTGAAAACAGACCAACAATATAATGATATAGATTAAAGTGCCATAGTCAAAATAAGTTAATCCTAAATTATCTTAAGCCTTCTTATGGAGCAAGAAAAACCCTCCATTTGCTAGATGTGCAGAGCTGGTGCAGACATACCTTGTACTGTAGCTATAACTGCAGCAAAAGGTGTCTCTATAAATTTTGAACTGGTAGATGCTGAATAAAAAGGATTTATAGTTTTAAATTATGTTTGTTTTTTCATATGCTTAAAAAGTATACTTATCTTTGTGTTAGTTTATCACGTATGGTTTAATAAAAAATACAATAAAATTTGAGCTTGAGGCTTAAAAGCTTAAAGGTTAAAAAAAAGCCAGACTGTAAAACTGCAAGGACTGTTTTGCTGCCAATAAAAACTTCTATGAACTCTTCCATAGGTTAAAGGTATAGTGGATGATCTTTTATTTCTGGGTGGATCATCTAAATAAGTGGTCCTCCTAATTGTCAAACATTTTGGTGATATGTTTACGTAAGGTCGTCCTACATGCTCATCCCTTAGCTATCTTTTTCTGCGCACTGGTGAGCTATGGTTTCAGACAGTCATTAAAGCTCACCTTTCTCACCGCAGTTCTTTGAAAATGGCCGAGGGTCTTAAGAGAAAAAGTGTCTCCGAAGTATGAGAAGAAAGAGGCCTCAGAAGAGGTAGATATATCCCAGAATGCTTTGCGCTGAGAGCAGTCCTCACAAAGCATTATGGGATTTGCTGTCACAGTGGCCCGCTGTCGCTACCTGGCATTGGCGATGGTGCAGGCACGGCCCAGTGGTGGAGTAGTTATTTGACCAACGGAGCAAAAAGTAGTGATCATCTATCTGAACGGTCAGTTAACTGAGTTTGCTATAAGGTCCACTATAAAGTCCCCCCTGTATGTCGACACAGTATGCTTGTATGAGCTATGAGAACAGCAGATTTTAAACAGGGTGTGCACGAGGAGAATATGGGCCCATGCATGCTCTTGCACGCAGATTTTTTTTTTTAAGTGGAGGGGGCGTTTCTTTTAAAAAGTCCTCCACAATACCTTAAAACAGGTTCTGGTTGGAAAATAAATGTATTGTTCTTACTGTCCATTTTCCAAGTCTTTGACGTGACACACGGAGGCCTCCACAAAGTCACGGGAGTTGTGGTTGAGTGGAAGCAGCATGGAGTCTTCATCAGAGGTGTGTGCCAGGGCCCCATTCAGTCTGCAGTCAGCAAAGGGGCTGGCTTTGCCATTAGGGGACAGGCCGTCCACTTCTTTTTCTTTTTCCAGGAGAGAGAGTTCCACTTTGACTTCAACTGCACAACACAGACATGCCATTCTTAGAAACTGGTTTATTAAACACATTCAATATTATAACAGAGTTAATGCCAGTGATCCGATGATGTGCTGCAAGTATTGCCCCTTTATGCTTGTTTTGTTGTCCTGTTTTTTTTTCTTTCATTCAAACACTAGTTCTGTAGTTTTGTCCTGTTAGGTGTCAAATTGACTCCCACATCTCCACAATTGGACAAATTTAAGTGGTAATCTTTCTTTTTACTGCCGTTGTAGAGAATATGATATTTGGGCCACAGATACCAAATATCTTGATGATTAACGGGTAATGTTAGCTCTGTTTGTTGTATAAAAATAACAGATTTATTTTGTTTTGGATTTTTTGCTGTTCGGCTACATCAAACAGTATCTCCTTTTTATATCACTACCTTATGTTGACCTTTAACGGGTCCGCTGATGTGAACCTGTGATTCTTTGCTTGATGGGTTAGGGTGTAACAGAGGCAGCCTAACTTCTATTTCTTTCACCATATTGATCATTTGATAAAACACACAGAGACACTTGAAACATGCCTTGAAGTGTTTTGTTGAAAGAGAAAAGAAATCTCTTAGTTTTTCGGACTCCAGTGAAGTATAGTAAAAGCTGTTGTCCTCCAGAGAAGAACACATGTAATAGTAGGAAACTTTGCCAAAAAACCCAAACAATTACATTTCTCAGAGAATCCAAGAGGTGAAAAAATAACCTGGAGGAATATTTAAAGCATTGCAGACCTCACTTTATTCAGTGGAGCTCAGAGCTGATGAAACACAACTCAAGAATAAGAAATAGGCTGGCAAGAATGGCCTCAAGGTAGAGTCACAAGGACAAAGCCACTACTGACTAAAATGAACATAAAGAGCTATCTGACGTTTGCAAAAAAATTATATATATATATATATCTTATCATCAAGACATTAGAGAAAATGTTCTTTGCTGTCATTCTTAAGACATAAGAGGGACATAATTTTTTCAGTCAAACATGTCGGTTGGTTATTCAATAGGACAATGGTCTAAAGCACAAGAGCAAGTCAACCACAGAATAACATAAAAGCGGTGTGGTCTAGTCAAAGTCTATTCTAAATTCTAACAGAGAAACAGCAGCAGGAGCAGAGACAGGTTCTTCTTGCTTAAAAAATCTTTAACAAGATTGAAAGGATGGAGCATAGTGGTCAGAAAGACACATTATAAGCTGTCGCAAACTTTTGATTGCAGTTATTGCCAAGAGTGTTGCAACCTAATGATAGTTTTAGGGCCAAATTACTTTTTAATAAATAAGACCAGTGAGGTTCAATTAGGTTATTTCCTCTTAATAAATGATTTGAATTTTTTTTTTCTTTATTTACTCAGATTGTGGTTATAAGATATAAATATCTGATCGATGATCTAAGATGTATAAGTGCATCATAATGCAGACACTGGGAAAATCTCTAAGAAGAAAAGTACTTTTACAGTTCTGTTGCTGTTAAATCTAAAAAAAAAAAAATAAACTCGACTCATAATACATTTATGCTTTTAAAGTTAAATGACACATTAACTGCAAACACCAAACAGGTGAAATAAAAGACAACAAAAACAAGAGTGTCTTTAATTTTCTATCTCTTTAGGAAAAGAATAAAATCTTTCCTCCATAAAGATTCTTTTTCTTTTAGCTGAATGCGATGCGCTGCCGTTGGAACTGTGACTGTGAACTTTTAGAAAGTGTTGTGTAACTCCTGTTTTACTGCAGCGGGCTTTATCTGTTCGGCTGGAAAAATGTGCTGATCATTCCGGTTCTTACACAGTAATCTGGCTGGAATTTTCTCCTGCTGAGCAAGTCTTAATTAAAATCAATGGAAAATCTTTATAGTAAGTGCAATTGAAGAGATGAAGGAGGCTTTTGTGCCCCTATGAGGAATATCTCTAGATGCAGCTGTAATGCATGGATATAAAACATCATGGTTGCACTGATATTTTATCTTAACAGATCAGAAGATTAAGAGATGTTTTTCCTAAACTTGGAGTTTAGATTTCATTTAGTGGCATGGTTTTGTACAGCTCTGATACAGACAAGGCAGTTTATAAAGCAAACAGAATATTTAGACGTTTATGTTGCTGTCTTTCACTTTGCCTGATAAATGAATAGTGAACTCAAAATGTTCAACAGATTGTGTAAAGATTCTGTTTAACTGCAGGTTTTGTCCCCGGAAACCAAATTTGTTTTGTCAATTTTACCAAGAAATGTCAGTGAAAATTTTAGCTGGAATAATGTAAGAAATATGCTAAGGGCTATGAAATGCATGTCATTGAGTCAGGCGATTCTCAGCTAAGCGTTCAGATACGCTCATTAGGAAGACCAGCTCTGTGCTTGGAAGCCCCCTTTGCCTGGTGCAGGTGGTAAAAGACAGAATAACTCAGCCAAAAATAATATCACTCTTAGACAATGTCTCCCATGCCATGCATGAAGCTTTTGCAGCTCCCTCAGTTACAGACTGTTGCATCCTAAACAAGGCTTTGTTTTGGGCTACTCCATAAAGCTTGGAGGTTTATAGAGTATTATTGAGGTCGACCTCAATGCTAATTTGGACATTTTGAATTGAAAAACCTTCCTGGATGGGGAGGGAAACTCAGTATTTACTTTTTACTGTTATTTGCTGTTAATTTTCTGATGTTTCATCATACACACACACACATATATATATATATATATATATACACTACCGTTCAAAAGTTTGGGGTCACATTGTAATGTCCTTATTTTTAAAGGAAAAGCACTGTACTTTTCAATGAAGATAACTTTAAACTAGTCTTAACGTTAAAGAAATACACTCTATACATTGCTAATGTGGTAAATGACTATTCTAGATGCAAATGTCTGGTTTTGGTAATGGTAAATGTGTTTGCTCATTGGCTCAGAAGGCTAATTAATGATTAGAAAACCCTTGTGCAATCATGTTCACACATCTGAAAACAGTGTAGCTCGTTACAGAAACTACAAAACTGACCTTCCTTTGAGCAGATTGCGTTTCTGGAGCATCACATTTGTGGGGTCAATTAAACACTAAAATAGCCAGAAAAAGAGAACTTTCACCTGAAACTTGACTTCATTTGTTCTTAGAAATGAAGGCTATTCCATATGAGAAATTGCTAAGAAATTGAAGATTTCCTACAGCTAGGATACAGCTAGGAGAAATGTTCTTCTTAGGGGCTATTTTTGTAATCATATTTTACTAAATATGCTAAGGAGAGCATTTACCTTCCTCCCACACAAAACATGCTAATGAGAAGAGAGGAGGCTGAGATGATCTGAGCAGCAGGATATGGAGGCAGCCACAAAATTATTAAGACAAAGTGAACCGTTTTATTTATTCAGCATCTGCATAGCTTGGTTTGCTTTTTTTCCAAATGAGAACATTTTAATAAATGTTGATACTTTGATAATAACAAAAATGATCTGATATGAAGTTACTACAGACATTCTGCACAAGGAAAACTGACACCTCCTAAACACTTAGGGCCGGATCTATCAAAGGTTTGCGTGTATAAAAACGGGAGCTATTTCACTGCGCACGCTAAAAAATGTACAAACTGATCTATCAACAGCGTGCTAAAAGGATTTGGTCTTTAAAACGTGCTAAATAGCGCCTCTTATCCATTTAGTACTTTTTCTGCAATGAATATGCAATATGGGGCGTTTACACGCAAAAGTGCGTCTTGTGGGAGGAGAACATGTAAATATATTAATTTAGCACTAGCAAAGTGATTTATCAAACTTGAACGCAATTTTGCTAACGGTATCTGACTCTATATTTAACACGTTTCAAAAGAAGGTGCAAATGGTCTGTATGCGTAATTGCGCACACATGGCAGCAGTTATTGTCGCAAGAAGGAGACATCGAAATGAAGCAAGGAGACGCAGAGAACGCATTTTTTCACTCCGTGTGAATATTTTTGGAATGAACGAGGAAACGAACATCAAAACATCGTTTATCCAGCATTGACATTTTGGAGGTGTTGGGGGAACTCCGAATGGATTTGGAGCCAGCCACAAGGAGGACCCACGTAATTCCAGATATCACAAAACTCCTTCCAATATTGCACTTTTTTGCATCTGGGATCTCCCAATCTCGTTTTTCAGAAGTGCTGTCCAACGTTCTAAATGCCATGTCGCCCTGACGCCCTACTGGAGACAACCCCGACCTCTGCGCCTGTGGAGCAACATGCTAATGTTGCGGGGATGCGTACGCGCAGTAATCTCATCCACAGTCACTTCTTGTGAGCCATTTGGTATGTTCATTTTTCTACAGGCCAATACAAAACACCTGTTTTTTTTTTGTTTTTTGTTTTTTTACTGCAGTGAAGTAGAAATTCAGCCACATACCACCTTAGGGAATAAAGGGTGCCAAAGTTTATATATATATATATATATATATATAATTTTTTGTTGTTGTTGTAAGATAAAAATTTCTTAATGCACTAGTTTGCACAAACTACAAACTACTTTGCCGCAAAAACATCATTTAAATAGGGCGTCTCCAACAGTTTTGCACCTGCCACCAGTTACGCAATCTCTCTTGTTAAATCACCCACAAACCATGGTTCAGCCCCTCGCGCAAAATTCCAGTTTGCGAGCGCAAATTACTGCACGCAAAATTGGATCTTGATAAATCCGGCCCTTAGAGTTTTAAATGCAGACATGCAACAGTTAACCACAGCTTAGTCGTTTCCATGCTGACAGGATTACTGTGTTTTATCAGATATCCTTATTTATTTATTTTTGAACATATCTTCTTCAGTATAATGCAAAACATCTAAAGAATGTTACCAGTGCTGTGGTGAAATAGTGGACAAAAGAAGAAATGCCTACACAAATCTGTAGCTGAATCAAAAATATTCACAATATACAATATAACTTGTGAAAAGTTAATGTTTGCAATTTTTACCATCAGTGAGATATATTAGAGACTTAGACTCAACTTTATTTATCCCAGGGAGTTACCCTTTCAGGGAAATTCTGGTTCCAGTAGCATATATAGAGTACAAAGAGTTAAAGCAAGATGCCATTAAAGATAAAATACAACAGACAATATAAAAAGAGTGTATATAGTACCAAAAAAGCCTTAAAAACAGAAAGAAGTTCTAATTTCCTGGAATATGTTTCCCTTAGTTATAAAAATATCTGCACAGTGGAGAGCAAAGGGAAGACTACATAGTAGTTGACTTGGGTTATTGCATCAACAATTTAAGACTTCAACAGCCTGATCGGATGATATTTCATAGACTTTAACTTCAATTAATTTGAGCACAAGGATCATTCCAGTTAGCAGTTAAGTTGGTGGGGTTTATAAGATTTGGTGGGGAAATTATATAATCATTAAAGAAAAAAGGTTTCTAGAAAAAAAAAAAAGTTAATTGGGATCAATAATTTACCTGAACAAGATTATTGTACCACCAGACAGTTTTTGATTATCTTACAATATCTGGTGGTGCCATTCCACATCAAAAAGCTTACAAAGATTAAACACAGGGCTTATTTACAAAAGGCAGTTCCACCAAATACTAAATAATTGTATGTAAACTTTTGAAACCAAGGAAAGAAAGAAAAACTCCTTGAAACAGAAACTAAAATACAACCGTAAAATAATGTAAGGACAATGATTTAGATATCTTGAAAAATACATACATAGAAATAGGCATTTATGGTAATCTTCAACGGCCAAAAACAGGAAAGAAAAGTAAAAAAAAAAGTAAATTTTTGGATATCAGGTTTCAACTCTCTCACCTGGTTTAGGTTTGGAGAAGCATCCTCCCATGGTGGGCCCAGGACAGATGGACACACCAAGGAAAAAGGGAGGGAGGAATCAGGGAGAAGGAGGTCAGATCCTCGGACCTGGATGTGCGGTGATGAGGGAACAGTGATGCAAAACAGGGGGTCTGAAACCCTGTAGGTCGAAGATAGCCATTGCACACACCAGCTCTTCTATACAATCTGTAAAAATAGGATAAGATGCATTAAAAATCATATAACTCACACTAACACTCATGTACGGTTTGATAGGAGCAAAAAAATATATATCAATTTGGTTTAACAAAATCCTATATTACATGCGGGGTTTGGTAGGACCAAAGTGCAGAGAGCATTGTGGAAATCATTTAGTGACCATTATAATAATAGTGTTGCGCCCATGCCATTTTTTGGCCCTGATACCGATACCTGGCTGTGCAGTATCGGTCGATACCGATATCATACCGATACCATCTGTTTGAAATTGATCTGTGTGTATATGAAGAACTGCATACTACTTGAATGTAAAATAATTTCCATCATGGCTTTGACAAGCTGCTGCTTACCTTTGTGAAGCAGGAAAAAAATTTTTTTATTGCCTACCTGGAATGAGTGACAATAGTTGAATAAACTTTTGGCTCTCAAAATGCCATATTTGTACTATACTAATATCACCATTTTAGTGTAGTATCGTGGCCCTGCCCGATACTGCTGTCGGTGTCAGTGTAACACTAATGAGGATGAATGAAAACTTTTAAAAAATATCACAGGTATGATATGGGGAACACTGGGCACAATTACAGTATCAAGCAGAATACAGGATAAAGCTACCCGAGGATCCAGTAAAGAACAATATAAATCAGTAGGCTGAAATACTGAGGGACGAGTGGAGAATGACATTGAATTTAAGTGAGTTAATTAGGAGACTATCAGGAGCAGCACAGGAAGAATGGAAGCAGGAAAGATAGGGGGAGGAGACTAAATTACACAGAGGGAGCTATCTGTGCCAGAAAAAAAAATAGACAAGGGAAAATAACTCAAATTTCTTGGAGAAATAAGTCCAAATGTATAAAAAAAGAGAACATGAAAAAAGATGATTTAACATAAATAAATAAATAAATGAGAAAGGATGAAAAGAAAAATGGAAATGAAAATTAAATCCTCATAGATGTGGGTCATGACATTAAGTTTTCAGGTTTGCAGACAAGACTACTGTGGTTGATTTCTGTCTAAAAATGGTGACCCCCACTGCAGAGAAAAAGGCCCTAAATTCACACAGTACCTCCCAGAACAGTCTTATCCTCAGGGCTAGCAAGAACCAGGAGGTCAGAGTGGAGATCACTCTGGATATACTGTATGTGTACATGTGTGTGAACTCACACATAGTTTGTTGGGATTCAAATTTGCACTGAGCTCTCCTGGAATGAGAACACCTCCCATTTTCTGAAGAAGGCTCAGCAGCGGCACTTCTTTAATAGTGCTGTACCTCACTGGTCTCTCTGCTCTGCTGCATACAAAAACTCTACTGGGCCATGATTTAAAGCATCCTGCCTCTCATTGGTCAGGAGCCAAACTGCACATGAGAACAACTAGAAATGGACGGAACAGGGAATAGTGGGATGTGGGGTACAAGATGTGGACTCAGTTTATGCAGCATGAGTCCAAAGAAATGGGAGCATATGCATTGCATCCAGAACAAATTACTTAAAAGACTCAGATCCCATCCCCTTATCTCACCTTCTGACATCCCTAACCAGACACACACAAATAAGACCACCCGCCAGCCCATTTCATAGGCTGCTCTGTCACAAGCTGGACTTTATATATGTACATATTTTTATTTTAATAAAATTATGTGTTTTCTTCCAAGAGCAACTTCACTTTTTACTATAAAGTTGTTTTTGTTTACATTTTAGTTTGATGGTGTTTTATTTTTTTGAGGCTTCGAAGGATGTGTATTATATTTTTTTCATTTCTACCTGCGTTAATTATGAAAGAATTGTGATCTGGGAGTCTTAACGAAATTTCATTGTATTTTTTTTTTTTAATAAAATAAAATAAATTCAGATTGGAAATGTAATATTTATTCCAAACTTCAAAACATCACATCATGTGGAAGTATTATTCAACATAGACCTCACTGTAAACAGACTATACTGTTGCAGATTTAATTAGTGGGGGTCTACGTAAAAAGTAAATTCTTGTCAAAGGAAGCAACTTTGTTAATTAGGAACATTTCCACATACATAACTACCTTTGTTCATGCATTTTGCATGGGAACCTGTTAAATTTTAACCCCGCTCCAAGACGTAAGGGAAGCAAGGGCCTCTTCTTGGGTTTCTAAATACCCCCTTGTCTTGTTTTGTTGCTGAATTGCCTTCTCATTTCTGCAAACACTGTTAATTCCTTCACTTGCTCTGTGGTACGTTATACATGTGATGCTCCCTGCTGTGATTATTAAAATGACAGGTGTGTCACTAACTGTGACACAATCCATCAACCAACTTTCCTCTACAAGCACAAAGACTGTTTGATATTCTGAGCACATCTAAATGTGCTTAAACTTGTAAAAAAGGAGGTTCAGTGTTGAATAGGGTAGAGAGAGAAAAAAAGTTTCTAAGACTTCATTGGATCTTCTCTAAAAATCTTGAAGCCTGAAACTACAGAGCTAATTTAAATGTAATACACACTGGTTGTGAACGTTTGAAAGAGAATATGTCAGTGTAATTACAGAAACTTGTGTTTTCAGTTCTATTATATATTAATTACAAACATTTGATCAACTCAATTTTTATCATACATTTATAAGACCATAAGAGCGATTTAATCAGCTTTTAGTTTAATATCCACTCTGAAATGGATTGGGCAAGTTGTTTAAATTGAGTGACTGCATCTGCAGAGACCTCAGAAAGTGGGGGAAGCTCCTCTTCCCAAATTCCTAAGATTTTAACAGAGCTACTCATAAATAACCTGTTGATCTAAAGTATAGCCAAGTCTGAAATGCCACACTGGATCGCTATTAATCATTTAATCACATCTCTTTAATATGTCCTAAATTCAGGATGACTTGACCCAAGAAAAAATTTGTTGGGGAAAATATGAAAACTAAAAAAGGTTCAACCATTTGATTGCATAGGCCTCTACACCAGCATACTACAGTAATGCTTTCTTGGTTTTATTTGTCATTATTAAAATCTCACTTAGCTTTTGTGAGTCGGATTTATATGGTTTTTCCACACTTTTGTACACTTATCCACATGTTTTATCCCTGGGCCTCAAGGCACCACATGTTTTAGATGTTTCCGTGGATCAGAGCACCTGATTCCAATTGATGGCTGATTAACATGCTTTGGCTAAACTGAAATCCTCATAATCAGGTGTGCCAAAGGCAGAGTAAACATCTATACCATGCTGGGCAATGTACATGGTTGCTAAGGTTAAAATAAGGCTCAATGAAAAAAAAAAGCTTCTCAGTCTTTATGGTTGAAAGGGCTCCTTGCCATCACCACAATTTTTAGCTCCCTCGACAATTTCTCAAACAACTTAACGAATGATTTTGGCATGGCCATTCTAAGACATTAGTATCACTTTTAGAAAGAAAAATTTTTTGGTAAACTAGCTTGTCTGCTAGAGCCAGTCATATAAAAAGTTTTACCATAAAAGTGGTTAAAAAAAAAGGCATGCAAGAAATTTACAAAAGATACGAATTGTTTCCTTAATATCACTTTTTTTCCCCTCTATTTTCATAAAAAGAACGAAATATTCCCGGAAAACCTCATCAAAAATGTATTTTGTTTGATAAAACACCTCGGCTAAAAACCAAAAAAAAAAAGAAAAGTTTGATTGTTTCAAATTTGATAACTTTTCTCACACGCCAAATTTTATTTTAGTTTTTTTTTTTTTCATCTTTAAGTAAAGGCTACATTGTGCATCCTCAGAAACTTGTTATTTTTGACTCAAACCTTCAGGTAATCCATTTGTTAGCATTTTACATAATTCAGATCAGCCAAAATGGCCCCAATGAAAGACCAAACTAGGATGGAGAACTGAATTTGAGATAGCATTTGCAAGGTGACCTAACGAGGGCTGTGGGCAATAATTTACTCACAAACCTTGAAAATGATTTAGAATAGAAGAACAGAATAAAAATCCAAGAATTAAAACTTTGCTTGAGAGAGCCAAAAGCTCAAATCCCTTCTCTAAGTGAGCTACTGAATGGAAAAACTTGCCTCACATTTTGAGCTTCAATAATTTGTCAGCACTGAAATTTTAATGAATAACTTTGGAAAGCTGGGAGCTATTCCACACTGGAGTTCCAACAAACCCAAGATATTTTGTGCAAAAAACCAAAGTAGGTTAAGCAGATTTGGTCGTCACAACATATGACGCAGATCCCGTTCTGTTGCTGCTGGGCCTGTCCCCGAGCAGTGCTCATAATCCTGCCCGCAAACAAGCTGTCAGTTTCACTACGAATGTGCTACCTGTTACTGGAATTATGTTGGAGGGGGGAATTAGCGAAAGGCAGCTCCTGGTTTGAAGTGGGGAGGCCCTGTTTGTCAATGAACTCTGAATGGCAAAATATGTCTGTACTCCCTCTAAAGGCCCCCTCGATCAGCTGGAACCAAACTTGGCCTTAATGTTTCTTTCAGCTATAGTAAAAAACTGCAATTTAATCAGTCAGTGATTTTTCAGTCTAACATTATATTACATGTTGTCAAATATCCCTGAGGATCAAAGGATAATCATGGGTGGAAAAAAAAATGTAAATGTCATGATCATGGCTCTGATGGCTGGCCTAATTTCTCATTTCATTCACCTGCCTAACTCTGCACGGTTTCCAATTACTGCTCATCTTATCCACCTGCTCCTGCTTCCATATGTATGGCTCAGTTCAAGTCATAGGGGCTGAACTATTGATATGAGATCTCTGTTGATGCTCTAGTTCATGTTGTCGTTCTCGGGGGGCCAGTGGTGAGAGAAGTTTTTAGTGTTTCGTAGTGTTTCTGTTATCCTGACCTGTTCTGCCTCTCAACCACTCAGTGGGCCCGGTTCCCATCTAGACGTTCAACCTGAACTCTATGGATTTCTGGAACCCTGAACCAGCCTGTTCCTGTTCTTATCGGTATCCCTGACTGGGCTTTGGTCTCCCGGACGTCTGAGTCTTCCTGTTCTGATCTGTTTCCCTGACCTGGCTCATACTCATGCTTGCTTTCTGGTACTGCACTATCTGGGAAAATCTGGGCGGCGCTCGCCGCATCTTATTGGCAGCCCTCCGCCTGGATCCTATTGCGTTCTATTGAGATAGACTGAACTGATAAACCAGATAAGTGACTCACATGGATAATCATCCTCTGTCAGATTATCATGGTCACTTAACTATGTTTTTCTCCAACCAGAGTTTCTAGTGATGGGGCGGTGCCCAGCCCCAGCTACTATAGACCCGGAGATCTGCCTGAGAGTTTGAAATATCCAACTTATGTCTGTCTCGCCTTGAATTTAGGAAGACCATTATGTCTTAGGATTGCAATGTGCCAGGTTCATTTTCACATGATGAAGTAAGCAGCGCTGAGTGTGAGGCGCTCCAAGCTTTTCTTTCATTTTACAATAAGGACATACTTTGTGTCAAAATAGGTTCTGGCTTTTTCTTTGATTAATCAACTCATTGCCAGACCTGTCATTTTTGATGGAAAGACAAACTGCAGTAATGAACATTTTCTTTAGATTCACTGTCATTGGGTGCCTTGTGCATTTCCAGAACACTGCCCATATTGTGCTGAGCTAAATAATGATAAATCATTTGTAGCGTTTTTAACACATATTATTTGATATTACAAATATAAAATGAATTAATCATAGAAAGAAATAAAGTATTCAGAACCTGCTTAGAAATTCTTTACTGTTTTCAGCTTTCAGTAAGTTGCTGCAGGAGTCTATTAGTCACTGCTTTGTAATATATGCCTGCTCTAACTTGAAGAATGTTGCTCAGATTGTGGAAAAATATGTTAATATGAAGACTTACGTTCCTAACAGAGCACTTCGCTCTCAATCTGCAGGTTTACTAGTGGTTCCTAGAATTTCTAAAAGTAGAATGGGAGGCAGATCTTTTAGTTATCAGGCTCCTCTCCTGTGGAACCAACTACCAGTTTTAGTCCGTGAGGCAGACACCCTGTCTACTTTTAAGGCTAGGCTTAAAACTTTCCTTTTTGATAAAGCTTATAGTTAGAGTGGCTCAGGTTATCCTGAGCTATCTCTATAGTTATGCTGCTATAGGCTTAGACTTTTGGAGGACATAGGGACCCCCATTTCATCATTCTGCTTCATTCTCTCTCTGTTCTCCTATTCTGCAGAATCTGTTAGTTCAATCTCTAACCTTCTGCTCTCTCTGCTTTTCCTCAGAGTAGCTTTGCCTCGTCTGTTCCTGTTTGGCTGTGACGTCATCCTGGAAAGAAACATCAGCTGTGCTGCTTCTATCAACACCCTTGTTTATAGATGTTGGAGATCGGCCTGTTTTCCAGTGTGGTCCTGTTTCTCTGACCGTGACTGAGTGGATGTGCTTTCTTCGTCCTCTGGCATGGGAGCTGCCTTGGAGCTCGTCTGCCTGGCTGTGTGTTTCCTGGACGGGGCCGCCTTTTACAGCTGCTTTTTGTATCTCTGCTTCTGTCTCCTTGAACCCCAGTCGGCCTCGGCAGATGGCCGCTCACACTGAGCCTGGTTCTGCTGGAGGTTTCTTCCTGTTAAAAGGGAGTTTTTCCTCTCCACTGTCGCTACAAGCATGCTTAGTGTGGGGGATTGTATTTGAGTCAATGAGTCAATGCAATCAACTGGTTTTCCTTAGATAGAAAACTTTGTATCAATTTGATCTGGTTGAACTGTAAAGTGCCTTGAGATGACATGTGTTGTGAATTTGGCGCTATATAAATAAACTGAATTGAATTGAAAGACTTCTTTAGATAATAGACTTCATGTAGAATTTAAACTGTTTCTGTCAAAAAACATTCTGAAGTGTACAATCTCCTTTATCAAGTATAAATTAGGGAAGTTATAGTAGAAGACTGCTAAGGTTCACTGTGATCCTGAAAGATTAAAAATCTTCTGGTTGTGTTCATGTGAAGCACTTTAAAATGTACTTTTACTGAATTGTGCTAAACAGATAAAATTGCCTTGAATCGCTTTGCCTTACCTTTTTTGGTTTTTCATAGGAACCATGTAGGTTCTGCGTCAGCACTGACCAGTCTTTGAAGCTGTTTATAATGCCTTATGTCATGTAACTGAATGCCAGGTCGTGATATTATCTTTACTATGTTTGGCTGTGAGTGTTGTGTTCGTTTGGGGATGTGTTGAATTGCTTTGGTGTCAAGTCCAAGTTTTGAATATGCTGCTCTTTTTTTATTTCCTAATATCCTTACAAACTCTTAACAGGGTTTATAAAAATGTATGTTATTGAAAAAATATGATACACATGAATGTTTCTCCATACAAAAAATTAGCACAATGTCATGCGTGGAAGGGGACAACCCTTTTGGGATTGTGCCCAGTTTTTTGTAGCGATCTAGTGTGATCGTGATTCAATGCTTTGTTTTTTCTGCCACTACGAGTTAATTAAACATGAGCATCAGAGCTGACTTCTATAACATCTTGCTGCTCATCTTGGAATGAAAAGAGTTCAAGTTTGGATGTCACTTTTAGAAGATGTTGGTATTACTGTGAATCACTTCTGGTGTAAAAAGATGGAGAGCCATGAACAAAAACTATTTTCTGTAGTTAACACATCTGTGCAAATCTGTTAAACCAACAAAGAAGCACTTTTTCACCCAGCTAACTCCATACTTTTTTCCTTTATATTTAACATAACAGTGTTATGATCTTGGCCCTGATGACTGGCTTAATTACTCATTCCATTCACCTGTCTAACTCTGCCCAGATGCTCATTACGACACTTCTGATCCACCTGCTCCTTCCTCTATTTAAGGTGCTTGAATCTTGTCATCAGTGGCTGATTATCATGGTCTCTCCAGCCGGTGGTGAGAGTGTTTTTAGTGTTCCTTGGTGTTTCTGATTTCCTGATCCTGACCTCTTCTGCCTCTCAACCACTGAGCTTGCCTGTTTCTGGTCTGATCTGTTTGTCTGACCTGGCTTCGGACTCCTGCATGTTCTCAGGGGCTGCAGCATCTGGGACATTCTGGGCAGTGCCCGTCGCATCTGGTTGGCAGCCCACCAACTGGATCCTACCTTGTTCTCAAGCTATGGACTGAACTGTTACACCAGAGATTACTTCCCTAGACGCTCTAGCCACTGCAGATCTGCCTGTTTTAATAAAATAGTTTTTTTCAGTAATCTAACTGTGTGTCTTGCCTTGAATACTGGGTCCTCGTTTCTGAGTCATTACAAAGAGATGTATTTGTTTTTAAGCTGAATTGAGAAAAATAAAGGTCACATTATATTTCTTGTGCTCTTATATTTTTATAGATCAGATTAACCTAGCACTTCAATGGAGAGGTTTTATATTACAGATCTATTGCCAGATTTTTCAGTCATCCTTGACCAGCATACCTGCTCTCTGAAAACCATTCCCACAGCATTATTCTACCTCATCCATGTTTCACTATAGTGGAGTGTTATTTTCCTCCTGTTGTGCAGTATGGGTTTTCATAAGTTACTGACCAACTTCAGTTACGATTGTGGTTAGGTTTATGACAAAATATAAATTCTAGTGGTGCAAAGACATTCGGAAGCTGTTGTATATTGCAGGTATGGAACCAGAAACATGTTACGATATTTGTAAATAGTAGGAACAGTTAGCTTGGAACCATTCAATACCATAGCTTAGCTAAAACTGCTCCCCTATCCTGAGGTAATAAAATAACACTAATGTCTTCTTCTCTGCAATTCACAATCAGCTTGTTCTCCTGGTTTGGGAGCTACAAGATAACACCTTGGGAATTGTCCTCAGGTTGCACTGTTAAGGAAGTATCTTCCCTTCTGCCAGGTTCAAGCATTCCTTTGTGCTGTCAGCTCAATACTCTCAATAAAATAACCGGCACACCATACAGAGAGTTTTTTACTCTGAGGTTGTATGCTGAAAATTAATTCCAATTTTGTTTGATCACAGTGGAAGGTGATGGATATTACAGAGCTGTTAAGGAATAATCCTGCCTTAAGTGAAATATATATTACACACAAGTAAGTTTTTTTTACTCACATTAGCCATGTGTTTACCCTTAGAAAAACGGACCACTTAAGCTGTGTAAGATGTCTCATATATTTCAAGCAGGATTATTACATTTTTTAAAGTTTTTTTGTTTTCTTGAGGTTTTATGGCCTCAGTGACATGTTTCCATAATATATTGCTGAAAACAAAGGCACATAAAAGAAATGTGTTTCCTGCAACGTGATATTTTTTACCACATTACAAAGGTCACAGTTAAGCTTTGCAAGAAATTGAAAAACAAAACAATTGAAAAAAAAAAATTGCCCACTTGAATGAAATACGGAAAAAAACATCCCCATTAATTATCTCAATTTTTCAAACAGAATTAGAAGTATAATTTTAAAATGTGAAAAAAATATAAGGATTAACACCTTCCCCAAAGCCACAGCGTCAGGACAAAGGCACAGGTATTTTTTCAGGTCACTTTGCCAAAGCCTTGAGTGATAACCTCTCCATGATGTCATGGAAAACTAAAACTGAGGTTTGCAAAAGGGAGTGCACCCCTGCAGGGGAGCAGTGCTTCATTATTTTACCTTCAAGTTTCTGTGAAAGCACAAAATTACACAAACAGAAACACAACCAGTTTTTCTGCAGTAGGATAACCTGCTAAAATGTGTAAATTTTTTTTATGTACATAGAGACATCAGCTGATAATTTAGAAATTATTATTATTATTTTGTGTTACAAAAATGAAGAGAATTGCAAATGTGATTTCAGCTAGAATAAGGTAACCAAATTGTGCTTGTGGCTCCGTTAAAAAGTAAACACAAAAAGACAAAAAAGTTTACTTAACATGAAGCAATGAAGATAAAAAAAAAAAAAAACTGAAACTCATTTTATAAACACCACTTCAAATAAAACATGGGGGATAAGCAACCAAGCTGGGTCACGTTTCCCTGAGTGTTGAGGGAGTAAATCAGCTTACCAGTGCGCATGGAGCAGGTGCACTGAGGTCCTGTCAAACTCTCCCAGAGCTCAGCTTCCCACGTGGGACATCACAGCAACTTTCCTTGCTATCCCTCTCCAGGATGGGCTCTCTCCTCTTGAGTATTCCCAGATTGTGTCCCTCCTCTGCCTCCTGATGCAGCACAGGTTCCAGAGAGTGTTAGTGTGTGTCTTTCTGTATGTGTTGCTCTGACCCTCACAAAGCGCCCCTGCAGCAGCAGACTGAGCTGACTGGTCGTGGGAGTTGCTCTCTTTCTCTGGACGAGCCTGAAAATGCAGCAAGGAGGACCTTTGCCAGTTCCTCAGCTGTATGCAGTATTGATGGAGTTGCTGTGGGGATGCTAACACAGCATGAATCCTCACCGTTCCCTGCTCTTGTGCTCCCACCCCTCCTCTTCTCTTTCCCCTAGCAGAGGCTCTCTCTCTCTCTCTCTCTCTCTCTCTCTCTCTCTCTCTCTCTCTCTCTCTCTCTCTCTCTCTCTCTCTCAGCTGCTTGTTGTTCCCTTTACCCTCTTAGCTTTCCCCAGCCCCCCCACCCCCCTTCAGATGTCAAAGACCTGACTTGCCAGTTAAACCTGATCAAAGAATTGCTGCTTTCCTTGCTGCACTACATGCTGACTCCTCCCTGCCTGCATCCTCTGAATGCATTGTGCTGCAGTGAATGCATCAGCTGTTGTACAACTCTTCCCCCTTGGTACTGTCCTTTTTTTTTTATCTGGCCACCAGAACACATTAAAGGAACTGCTGCAAACACTGACACAGCTCTTACCGTATACCTCACATCTTTCAGTGTGATCAGCAAAGGAAGAGAGCTTGGAATTGCAGTAGTCGCAGTTGATGAAAAGTTCAGTCTATATGGCAAACCATTAGGTAAAAAAAATGTACCTCCTTGACACAAACATGCAATATTATCCTGCCATAGCACTAAAAACGTTTAGTAATTATATGTCAACTTCACTTTTAACCCAACTTGTAAGAGCAGAAGTCCTAAACCACAGTGTCTCGCTTGTAGTGAAAAATTGCAGACTACTTAGCTTTGAGGCACTAGTCGACAACAAGCCCGGATTGGTTGATTTCTATGCCATTATTATATATAAAGAAGTGGGCTGAAATTCATCCCATTAGTTCCTGCAACCCCTAAATGTGCACATTGATCATTTATAATTCCAGGCAGCCAGTAACATTTTTAATGCAAACTAAATTAAACTAGTTATTAGTTAAATGGTAATAAATGCACATTAGCTTATTTATAAATATGTGCTATTTGCACTTAGGATAAGGTTTAAATCCTGCATTAGAAAGCATATCAGTTGTGAAAACTTTGTCATCTGTGAGCAAATACCTGCTGCAGTGACCCCTGAATATTGGAGCAGCTCAGATGGTACAAATACAACGTATTTAGTAATAAAGCAAGCAATTTGGATATATTAGTGACTTGGCAGATTTTTCTTTACAACGGAATATAGAGAAAATGAAACTGTCATCTAGTTAAAAGGTGTGTGCTCTGCTAATGTGTAAATTATATATTAATATTACATATCAGTGAACTGGTGCAGCAGTCCCCACCCAGATCAGATAGATTTTGACTTATGCGTCAAAAAGACTTCTAGTTTCAGTTATTTAGGTGCTATAGTAATATTGTAAATGTTGGTTCGACAAAAGGGGCACCAACTAGCAAGTAAACATTGCTAATAATAGTTTTTATGAAGTAGTGATGCATCTTTTTAAACTGCTGGCATGTTTAACCAGTGCGGTGTTGGAAAAAAAAGTTTTTGCAAACATTAAAGCTCTGGAATATTTACAAAAAGAGCTTGTTCCAAAAAAAAAGTTAAAAACCAACCGCTGGACTTTGTTTTCCAAATTTTAAGACATTTTGCTTCCCATCCAGAAAGCTTTCTCAATTCAAAATGTCTGGATTAGCGTTGAGTTCCAGGCTTATAAAGTGACCCAAACAAAAGCCTTGTTATGGCTTATAAAACATGCAAATTGAACCAAATAAACAGGTCCACCTCTTTGTAATGGGGAGTCGTTGAGGTCCTTATTGGCTTGCAAACATGATATTGGCCCATGGCTCTGAAAAGGGAGTAATTTGGCCCGGCCTGTATGGCCTGGCTCACCAGGTGTCATGTTTTTATCTCCTGCATAGCGATGAGGATTGATATGATAGTAGGAAGGAATCCACTCTATCGCTGCATTGTAGGTTTTTGAGTGCTGAAACCTGAGTCCATCCCCTCATATGGTTGGTTTTTTTCTCTCAACATAACTAGCTTCCTTCACACCCCTTTCCAACCGACTGTCTTCTTTGTCCAAAATGTGAACATTCTGGTCCTCAATCGTGTCTTCTTTGTCCTTAAGTGGACAGCAGAGTCTTGTCCTGACTATGTAGCTCACCTGTGTTGAGTCATGCATCTGTGGGGAGGTTGTTTGGTTTCTCCACCAAAAAGATCAGAGCATTCCTTATTGCAATGAAATGCATACAACAATCTGCTCATCTTATGTCTGGGGATTTTGTCTTTAGGATGCCTAAGTATAAGGGTCTAAAAAGAGCTTTCTCTATGCTTACCTGCAGTAGCTTAAAATTTTCCTTGATTTTTGCAACAGCACTTTGCCTTGTAGCTTTTTGGCCAAAAATAATAGCAATTGTATAAACAGTTAAAGTTCTAAAACCTTTTCATGGCTTACTAGAACAAATTTTAGATGAATTAATACAAATTCATATAAAAGCATTCATACAGATTTTTTATGAATGCTTCTTCTTGCAGGGTAACTATGAAGCTGGTAAATCTCTAAAAGCAATTAGCAAAAAAGGCAGGGTAAACCACTGACAGTTCTTCAGTCCATCACAGGGCAGCCAATAGAGAAACAACCATGGAGACACACATGTCTTGCTAGCAGAGCAAATCAGTCTTTGAAATAAAGGTGATGTTAAGAAAATCAAATATCTAACTAACTTGCCATGGTCAATAGCTGTTGAGACAAAGTCAGTGTGATAATACCAAATGAGCCAGATAGAAGAGGATCTTTGATGTAACGGGTTAGAAAAACAATAACAATGACCACATGGTGTTATTGTATTTCTACAGAGCGCTGACAGATGTATTGTTGCTTGAACACTCCAGTGTCTGTTTTTATGTTGGTCTTTGTTTGCAAGCATGTGTGTAAAGGCATGTGTTTAAGTGGAAATCAGACAAGGAGCTAAACATGTGCATAACAATATGCCTGACTAAGCTATCCCAGTGTTAAAGGACAATATACACCGGTGACATATCTTTATTATTTGAATAAGAATGAGTACTTTTAGCTGCAGGATCCAGTGAGAATTGTAATAAAGGAATACAATGGCTTTAGCATTTTTATAGGTTAAAACCTTTTTAGTGTGGCATGGATTTCTGCTCAGACCAGCTGGGTCAATATTTCCTAGGATCATCCTTTGCTCCGATCACAGCTGCAGGACCTGTGGAATGTGCCTCTACCAGCTCTGTACGTTATATTTAGCTTATATTTGCTCTTATTTGCTAAATAGAAAAGATTAAGATGAATTTTAGTACGAGCCGCCAGAATTGCAAAAGACTCCAAGATGGATCTCAAAATGTTTTCAGAAAAACCGAGTAAAAGTCTGGTTGCCTCCAATTCAAGCCTTTTTTGTTATTAAAAATAAAAGGCTCAGGAGGATTGGATGGAGATCATTTTTAGGCAGATTATCATTTGAATTTAGGTCCTTCTTTTTGCTGTGGAATTCAAACAGACATTCTTTCTTTGGGGCTGCTCGGTGGAGCAGTGGGTAGCACTGCTGCCTTGCAGCAAGGAGATTCCGGGTTTGATTCCTGGCCCGGAGTCTTTCTGCATGGAGTTTGCATGTTCTCCCTGAGCATGCGTGGGTTCTCTCCGGGTACTCCGGCTTCCTCCCACAGTCCAAAAACATGACTGTTATGTTAATTGGCTTCTTTAAATTCTCCTTAGGTGTGAGTGTGAATGGTTGTTTGTCTTTGTGTTGCCCTGCGATGGACTGGCGACCTGTCCAGGGTGTACCCCGCCTCTCGCCCATTGACAGCTGGAGATAGGCACCAGCACCCCTCGCGACCCCACTTGGGATTAAGCGTGTTAGAAAATGGATGGATGCATGTTTTCTTTGATCTAAACCTGTCCATTCTGGTTATGGCTGCATAGAGTCATTATAAACACCTGTCACAGTTTTGAGCTTTTTATTTCTGAAACAGAGGTTCTTCCAGGTTTATTCTCTTTTTAGATCTATTAATCTTATAAACTATTACCAGTTTAAAAGAACAAGTAACATTGGTGACAAATACATTTAGCCTTAGTCTTTCTCCGCACATTGCATTTTACATGTAAGCTACCACAGTGTATTTGGGTGTCATCAAGTGGGTGCTGTGCCCCCTTTATGAAATGTGGTAAACTGCAAAAAGATCTCTTCATGGGTTTTCTTCAACTATAATATTTCTTCTTACCCTTCTTCTATGAACACCTGTTTAATAGATGGCACAAGTGTCCTCAGGTGTGGATTGCTGCATCTCCTAAGTTGATCCTTGTTTCTACACTGAATAATGCTGTCAGTGTCTGAGCTTTCATTGTAGGTTGTCATGGCAGGTGTATAGTTTAACTGAGCTCTTTTTATTTACAAGTGATGGGTTTAACAGATATCTCTAAGATTCTCAAAGCTATGGATGTTGCTTTATTACCAAACCTTGCTTCAATATTCTCCCCAACTCTCTGAATGACCTATCTGATGGCATTTAAGGTCATCATGATGCACAACAAACCTCTGAGGCCTCAAAAAGGTTACATTTAAATTCAGATTACACCACAATTTAGGTAAGCTCTGTTCAAGTACAAAGTCCTGAACACTGATATTAAAGACAAACACAACACACACTATAGAGTAAAAGAATAAGCAATGTTAAATGTCTAAAGATTTTCAAAAAGCCTGAGCCGCTTGTTCCAAATACTTTGGACCTACAGCAGCAAAAGCTCTGTGTCCTCCGGACGCAAATTCATTGTTCTGGAATGTCAAAGAGCATCAGAGCCACTGATCTGAGTGAGCGAGATGAGACGTACATCTGAAGAAAACCTCACAGAGAAGATTAGTAAAGTCTGACTTTTAATGCTTGCTCAATTATGAAGCAGTAAAGAAAAGAAAACTACTAACTTTCCTTTAACTTACAGGTAGACCTGTACTACTTTGTGTCGGTCTATCAAATAAAATTCCAATAAAATAGACAGAGATTGATGGTTTTGAGGGTTTGATTATGTTGCAACACATCAGAATGTAAAGAAGGCAGTTAAAAGATCTAATGGTTCAGTCTCCCTCTGAAACAAACCTTAACCTTAAACACAAAGCACTTTACAAATGCCCTGTTAAAGATGAGGAGTTTATCATGTTGTTCACCACTAGTGATGA